TCTCTCTCTCTCTCTCTCTCTCTCTCTCTCTGCACAATCATTACATAATAATAAACATAGAAATTATATAATAATATTTTCAATGCTAAAACTAGTGCACAAAAACACGTGTAAATGTTGTGTTTAAATCCAAGGGCGCGTACAGTTGGGTGCGGTTTAGCACTGGTAGCTATTTATTGCAACAAAATATTATGTAATACACACTGAAATAACAGGTAGTGATAAGCGATGGGTAATTTTTGGACAATATTTTGTATAAATTAATGATACATCAATATTATGCATAATTTATTGTAAAAATCATTAATCATAATCATATAAATGATATTAATAGGTATTTATTTCTAGCCCCGGGAGTACCGGTGCTCGTAATCAGTAGTCCTAATGTCTATTTAGACTTAAAATTAATGTCTATTTTCATTGTAATTAAGCCTATAATACATATACGCTTACATCAGATGTTGAAAACCCGGTAAAATTAGTTTTGGTTATCAATAATTATTGATTTTTAAATGTAATTATTATTTATAATGTATGAGAGAAGAGATGTCATTGAGAAATAATTCAATCATTAAATTTCAATATAAAAATAATTGTTATTCAATTGTAGACACAATATATTGAAATAAAATAAAAATTAAAAGTCTATTAAATTGTAAACACATGTCTCTTTCATTCCCACATATGTTAGTAACATTAAAATCTATGATATAATTGTTTTATTTGGGTATTTTTGTCATAGACAAACTCTCAGAATTTTGTCATGCTATTAACAATAAGTTATTATTAATAACATATTTGCACAAACTCGTTTTTTATAACTTGAAAATTAACTACATGAACTTTTAAATCAAAATTAATTAATAATGAATGTTAAATTATTATTAAATTTGCGAAATCTTATAAATAATTATCTTAATTAAGATCTTGATTAACTTATTTCTATAAATAATGTATAAACCGAATAATACGCTTATTATAATTTTAATCTTATTATATTAAACATGGTTATTAATCATAACTCATGATAGATGTTAAATGTCAGTCTATATAATATTAAACTATTTTCGAGAAGGGCTAAAAATATAACATTAATAGTTTTATATAAAAATTTTTATTAAATAAAATATAAGAAATTATAAGTAAAGTTATATTCATCATAAACGGTGTTTAGCTGTATAGTGAACTAATGCAACATAAAAGTGATTAAAATTTTATTTTATAGATAAAAACCACATGTAATTTTTATAACATTTAAAATACCACCAAGCACCTCCTTATCACAGTATTAGTAGGCAATATACGGGCCAATTGTAGGCACCGGTAGTCCAGCAAAAAAACGTCTACCAGTCTATGATTGCTGAGACAAAAATAGGTATTTAAAGGCAGTAATTAATTATATCAACAAAAACAAGACTCTCTGTAGCGCTGAGTCTCGCAATAAACTGTGGTTTAACTGGTATTTCAATACAGCGAACCTCTATATTGTAGTCAATACAATAATGCTGTCAAACGTAATCAAATCGGGACTCAAACTCCCGGCCCTGGGCTTTGAGTCCGTATCGCAACTACTGGTGCATCGGTTGAGCCGTTCGCCCAACACTATACAAATCGTAAGCTTATAATTTACTATATGTGTTATAACTACTGTATATTTATTAATTAAACATAATGCAATTACTTGTGCATATCTGTGCATATCCTGTGCCCCACCCAATACAGATAGACACGGCTATCGGGCGTCACACCACACGCGGACAGACACTGGATTATGGCATGAATTTTGCGGCATATCTACGGGACGAGTGCCGTATCGGCTCAGGCGATGTCGTGCTGTTTGTCACGCAAAACAGTGACACTCACGCCATAGCCCTGTGCGGTGTGGTGTTGGCCGCCGGGGTCTACGCCTCCATACCTGTCCACTCAACACTCCGTAAGTTACTGTTACTATAATATAGTTTATTGTTATATTATAATATTGCTATATTATTAATTGTACTTTACTATACAGTAGTAAAATTATTATGTTTATAATTTGCAGCAACAGTTTAATGATGTTAATTTTATATCTGCATGTTATTGTAATGTTTTATATATGTTTTTTGTTTGTGTAAATGTTGCAGGGTAATACGTTAAATGCAAGCATAATTAATTGACAAATAGTAAAAATAGCAATTTTATTTTAAAAATACACAAAAAAAAGTTATACATAATATTTATAATACGGTATTACAAATAATAATAATATTTACCTATTGCAATTTACTTTGAGACTGACAGCAATTCAATTATTACCTTAGGGGAACTGGAAGAAGTTCTAGATGTAATTACACCTACACTACTGGTGCTCGACTCAGCCAACTACGAGGCGATGGCTAAAATTGGGCACTTATATCGCATTAAGGTAATCACCAAATTGAAAACATAATGATAAAAAACATTCAAGAAATATTAATACTGGTAAAAATAAAGACCCTAGTGTTGGACAAACACGGATCGCACACATCTATAGAGGATATATTTCTGAAAACACGGGCCACCGACAGCCCTGCCCTCCCGGTGCCCACCACTGCGGACACCACAATCACATACGTGATGACCAGCGGCTCCACCGGTCGACCGAAGGCCGTGCGGCGAACCAACGGTAACCACTTGGCAGTGGTGGCCGCCTTTGGGCACCGGGACGTGTGCCCACTCACCGCCGCCGACGTACTGCTATCGTGCGGGTTGTGTCACATCTGTGGCCAGAGGTCACTGTTGTCGGCGATAGAGTCCGGCGCCTGTTTGGCTGTGTTGGGCTGTGACGAAAATCACGATGATGTTTTTGCCACTATTAGTAAGTATAGGGTTACCGATGCCCTACTGGTGCCCACCCAACTTAACTACTTGGTGAAAAATTGGCCAAAGTTCCCGCCGGGTTATTTCGCTACGTTAAAGCACGTGCTGACCGGTGCCGCGCCGTTGACCGCCGCCACTTACGAGGCGGTCCGCCGGTTACTGCCCGACGTTAGGCTCCGTAATAGTAAGTATGACATTAGGAGTTGGTTTGAAACACTAGTATATACTAATCCCGCGCTGAGTTAGTGTGATATAAAATTTATTAATAATTTAACATTTATTTTAGATTTAGTATAATTTATAAAATTAAAACTTAAAACTCACACTACATTTCAAACAGTATTTTTTGACTAGTGTTTAAAATAACATAAAAATCTTTTAATAGAAACAGGGATAAAGACGGAAGAGAATGTACAAGGATTAAGTTTCTGTTTTTTACAAAGTTGATTTTTAAAATGACCTTTTCCCATGAATTATACTTATATTTTTAGGCTACGGTATGTCTGAAAGCGGTTTCGCGCTGACCGTCCACTCGCCCGACGCCAACCTATTGGCCAATTGCGAGACTGTGGGCAAAGTGAACCCCGGGATGCAGATCGTGGTGATCGACGAGAATGGTGTGCCGTTGGGCGCCAACCAGTTGGGAGAGATATGCATGAAAGGCGATCAGGTATAGTTCATAAAGGAGCAGGGTATATTTACTATAAAATGAAATAGTAATCTATTACATAATATAAAAATAGTATACATATTATATACACATCCTACCATTTACCATGATCCAATAGGTAACCCCGGGTTACGTAAACAATAGTCGCGAAAATGAGCGACTATTCACTGGGCACTCGTACCTCCGGAGCGGCGATATTGGCTATTATGACGACAACCACTACTTCTACATCATTGGCCGCATTAAGGAAATGATAATCGTTGACGGTATGTACTGTTATACCCGACCCAACCCTATGCCACTCTAGCCTCTACTCCTGGGCTATCAAACCCGGGGTCTAAACACTAGTCACTCACTAATTACAGGCGTAAACATAGCGTTGGCAGAGTTGGAGCGCCTGTTGACTGGGCACAAGTCGGTGGTGAACGCGGCGGTGATTGCGGTGTCGGACGACGGCCACGGAGAGGTGCCCATGGCTTTTGTGACGGTGGTTGAGGGCTCGGACGTGACCGAACAGGAGTTGATGGCTTACGTAGACGGCCAGGTGAACGAGCACAAGAAGTTGAGGGGAGGGCTGAGAATTGTGGACAAGTTTCCCACCACTCCCAGCGGCAAGATTAAGAAACCCCAACTGTTGGCTAGTATTGTGTTTTAAGGTGTATTAAGTTTGTATTTTAAGCTTGGCACATTTTTTTAATTGTGCTATGCACTTTTATAAAGCTTATTGTTGTTGTTTACTTCAATATTTGATTAAACCTTATTACTTGTTTATTAATTTTTTGATTTTGATTAATATTTTCCATACATTATATATTGTTATGTTGAAATGTTTTACCTTTATTCGATAAATAAAATAAAAATTATTTTTTATATTGACTATAATAATAAAATAGTTGCATTATATTAATTGATTTTAATTATACTATTTTGCTTCTGATAATTAAAAACACTTATACATAAATAAATCATATAAAACAATAAATTAATAAAAAAATTTACGTTTAATATATTTTTAAAAATTAACGTTGCTTTAATTAAAAATTAATAACTATTGGTCAATTGCACCATGATAATTGCATCGCTGTATAATCGTTATATTCATGTACACCAAACTAACCCCGTTGTCGTCGTCGTCGCCGTTGAGGCGCATTTGCGGTGCCTTTTATTTATTGAGATTATTTACATTAATTTACACATTAATTAAATTCACAATTTAACAAATAAACGTTGTTAAATTAAAATTAACTAGGATGTAAAACTTTACATTATAAAATATAATTATTTATCTACAAACTAGATAACTGTCAGATAAAATACCTACATAAAAAATTATTTGCTATATTGAATAATAAAATAATAACATACCTGCACCTCCATCTCCACCCCCATTGCCGCCCCCATTGCCACCTCCACTGCCAAAACAAGCTTGATCATTGTGTATCTCGTTTACGGCCAATTCATCTTGGTTAAAACTATTAATCGGTTGGTCTGGCTTAATAACAGCCCCGTTACACACAACACATACTATCGTAATTATTACAACCGCAACAATAATTTTCATCATGTTCAATTCAAACAACTGTAAGTATTTTAATTATAATTGCATATTTATGCACTATTTATACTAATCCAATGAGTGTAGATTGATATAGCCCGGTTAAAATGTTTAAATAAATATTTATATATATCTGTATAAAATAGTTAACTTTATTTCCTAAGAATATTTAAGTTTTACTAGCTAGGTTTAAATGTACTAAAA